TTCTAATATACATGGTTTACGTTACATTTTTGTCTCCGTTTGTTTTTTATCAACTGACAACAGAAAAATTCACTAGAAAGTAATATACATATATATGGCATTGTCTAAAAAAAAAAAGACTAAACCAGTGTGCATTTAGAAACGTACATATATTAAGAATATTGAAATATAAACTGTTTCAAATTACAAACCGTTATAGATGTACAGTAATTCTGAAATAAGAAAACATTTGGCTACACTTTTGAGTTACAGATTAATCAAAATACATATAGTAACACACTTTACACTGTTTTTTATAGAATAAAGCAATAGAAATGTTGAATAAAGTTCTTGAAGATACATCACATATAAATGTTTGCGAGAATATCATTGATACTCAATTATATCACGAAGCTTTAAAATGGACATGTATTCTTGGTAGTTCAAAGTGCAAAAAACACCTTATTCATATATTAAAGTGGCATTTACAAAATCCTGCACAAAACAAGTACGTTTGTCTATTTTTTTAGTACCAACTGACGTTTGTATAACACTGTTCTCTCTACTGATATATTATACATAATATTATATATCTGACAACATGAGTCTTGATATAGTATTATGATATTTGCAAAAACACTAGACATTCGCAAATGACATATTTTCTAAAACTATGTACAATTTTTACAAACCATTCATAAATTTGTACAGTTCACTTACACATATATTCATATATAAAGTTAAATAGATATGACCTCAGAAAGTGTCTTGCTTCTACAATTATAAAACACGTAATAGCATCTGTAACATGAGTAATGATATATCATTACAATATCATGAGAATCGTAAACTCGTCCGAGCAATAAGTGTATAAGTAATGTTATATATATATTTTTGTAAATATTTGCAGACTGTTGTTAAGTTGGCAGAAATGGATATATTGCCAAGGTGTGACATTAGGACTTATAAATGATTACATGTTGTTCTTTAAAATACAAGACATTTACTTGTTACAAGAAAAGCAAAATCACTTTTTTCACCTTTTATCTTGTCGTGGACACAATTACAAATTAGAAGTGCGTTATGCACAAGAACATACTTTAGGAAAAGACAATGATTTTGTTAGCATTCTTTTCCATATTGTTGCAAGGCACGTAAAAAGATTTTCTTCACTGGATACTATACTAAGCCAAATACAAAATAAATTTCCAAGGTGAACAAAGTTTTCTATATAAACCTGTTAAGTTTTGTATTATCCTATTACTGTATGTACATTATGTATAATTTACACTATACATCTTGTATGTAGTTTATATCTTTCCATGTATATTATGTTTGTTCACTTTATATACATTGGATTTTTTATCTTACAAGAGTATAATATAACTACTAAGAGAGAGTTTATACTAAATATCTGTTATATGTGTTTCATTTAAAAGACCGGTTGGCCTACTTGCAGTTGTGAATTTTAGTATTAACCACATATATTCAGATGAAGATTCCGAAACGGTACGTTATGAGAACTTAACCGTTTAATATAGCTATAACTGTAAAACAATCTTTTTTTTATTTGATTACGTAACTTAATGTATGTATGTAATAAAAGTATATTGGTAAGTTATATAAATGTAGTTTAGCACACTAAAAAAGTGACATATATACTGCTGAGTTAGGTACAAGTTATTACATTCAATATTATTATCACACGGTGGTTTTAGATTACTAAGACTGTACTACTACTGGTTACAACTTTGATTAACAGATATAATCTAGAAATGGTGAGAGAAGGTTTTATAAATAGAATACAGTTTTCAAATAAAAGTTCAAAATTATTTTACAAATTTAAGTTTTTAAAATAAAAATTGTTATATTTGTTCAGTACTTGTTACGTGTTTAAATCACTTTTTTATGGTTTACACGTACTTATACAGTTTTATTTTGTTTTCTTTTGTAGTAATTCTTGTTTTTTGTTTTATACAACTGTATTCTTCAACATTAATAGACTTTTGCAAAAGTATACAAGATGTTATCATTGATATAGGTTCTACTTTTTTGTAGCCATTATTTATACACGACGTCATTATGAAGAAAATGTTGAAGCGTCGAACGATTATACGAATCAAGAAAACACACATTCGGGATGTACCTCATTATTTACTACACTATTAATCACATGATGAGTGTAACAAGTTTTTTTGTATAGACATATGCTTTTTAATTTAAATAGAAAATGGTATCTATGTATTGCTGTTAATATCAAAGTTATTCTTGTATACCAAGATTTAATTTATTTTATGTCACAAAAAAGTATTTATTAATTATGTTTAAAATGTAGAATTTACAGATTTTAATACATTTAACAATTTGCAAAGTGATCATAAAATAAAATCGAATCTATGGTACAAGAAATGCTACTAATACATTATATGTCATTTTACACAACTGCGCGACTAAGTATACATTTAAGGTTAATTGCTCACAAATGAATATATAAAACACACGTCATACAAAAGAACACATTGTATAGATATATAAAAGTTTTAAATGTATGAAAAAGAAACAATCTATATCAAACAGTTTTATGTATAACAAAATATGTTACTCGTAATAATTTTTTTATGTATGTAAAAATTGATAACCAATACTTTAATTAAATTATATTATAGTATACTTTATTATGTTTTGTTGTTTAATATGTTTTATCAGAGATAGTTAGTACATAAGTACTTATAATAAAAAGTGTATTTGCAAAATTTACTTTGTGAGTTTGTTGGCGATTCCTGGTTTTCTCAATGCGCAATATTTTCAAGTAAGTTTATATAGAAACATTTATATGCAATATAACATTTCTTTTCGAATAAGAAGACTTTTCTATATATAAAATTAAAATACATACAATAAAATATTTGAGTACCCAAAATTTCTATAATAAAATGAAAACAAATGTTTAAATATTTCAATGTTTTTATTTTTTATATAAATTTAGAGTTTTCGGATCCTTTATTGTACGTATTTTAATCATAAAAAATGATAATAAGCTGTTATTTTTCAACAATTTGTTAATTTTTGACAATACGCAATAGTTTTCAACAAGTTTGCAAAGTGACACAGTCGTAGAAACATAAGTGCTCACGATATATACTTTGTCGAAAATTACAACGCTTATTATATTGTTTTTACAAGACAGAACGCGGAAACGCGTTACGCGCGGCTAGAAGCATTGTGTCATATCCTAACTATAAAAACTCTTAAGCGTGACGTTATGCAAGTTATCGCGTATGTTTGCGTGAAAGAGAAATAACAGAAGAAAAATCTGAATTTTATTTAAAATCTAGATTATAGTTAAAAATGTATTATTCAATATATTCTTACAGCGATTTCGGCTGGTCTGCACCGGTGTGCCACCTGTATAGAGTTGGTGCAAGTGTGCAGTGCGTACTCATGTGGTGTTGCACTGTATATTTCGACCACGCTAGTGTGTATTAGCCGAACACGAGACCACACCAACTGGCTCCAACTAATTTGTGAGAGCCACTTTATGTACACCCAACATACATCTATGCAGTGTACTGAGCTCAGACGAATACGCGGCACCAGCAAGGAACTGCACCATTCGACCAGACGAATACGCGGAACCAGCGAAGAACTGCTGCCATTCGACCAGCCGAACACACAATTTGCACCGACACCCGAAATGTGCAGTCGGTGCAAACCAGCCGAAATCGCTATTAGTTTATACACATTTTAATAGCGATTTCGGCTGGTTTGCACCGACTGCACATTTCGGTTGTCGGTGCAAATTGTGTGTTCGGCTGGTCGAATGGCAGCAGTTCTTTGCTGGTTCCGCGTATTTGTCTGAGCTCAGTACACCGCATAGGTGCATGTTGGGTGTACACAAAGTGGCTCTCACAAATTATTCGGAGCCAGTTAGTGTAATCAGTACACACACCGATGCAGTGTTGCACACAATTGCACCAACTCTACACAGGTGGCACACCGGTGCAGACCAGCCGAAATCGCTATAAAATGCGGCCGCTCTCAATTCTCTCTACTCTGCTCACACTAAAATGATCATGTATCGTGACACGGTATATGAAGTAAATACACTTACCAACACACCATCTGCGATGCAACAATAATATTGATATTATATAGCAAATCGGTTCAATCAAACAGTATTGTTAATATCTTTTTAACGCAATTTGACGCATCTCTTTTCAGTAAAATAGGTCAATTCTTTTCCTTTATTTGAATATTTTCTCTTTTCAAGATATCACGTTAAGTAAAGTTAGCTACTATCTCCTCGTATACACAGCAAACTTCAACTCATATTTAAGAGAAAGTTTAGAGTTAATTTATAGTTTGATCAATTTGTATTAAAAAAATATAGGTATTATTTTACGGAAAATAAATATTTCATGGAAGTTGATATGTACGTTTTTTTTTTTTTTTATTATAAAAGCAATTTCTCATTTATTATAATTTAAACTACTACATAACATTATACATAACATATTAAAACCATCCTCATGGCCGTGAGTCCCTCATTGGAAGGAGAGGGAAGGGGCTCACATATTTTGATGTTTAGGATTTAAACACATTTTTCAGGGATACTTTATCACAAGTTATGTAAATTGCAAACTTGCAATATGTGATCATCCTATACATTCTTGTGATTTAACGAAATTAATTTAACCAATTTGCTTTCAGAATTCTCATTGGTATCGTTTCTGTGAGCAAATCGAGATATGTACAGAGTAAACGCAATGAATAAATTCGAGTCTTTTGTTTGTTCAACAGAAACACGAGCTCTCGAAAATTTTCCAAGCATTCGATATAACCGCGCGACATCCACTTTTGTGTCGTCAACATTTCACGTAATTCTATCTTCAGAGATGCGGCTGTTCTCCTCTCTCCTTACATCTCGTAATTAAGATGTCGAATCTTGTTGAGATTTGATTCCACGTTACTTCCTTTTTCCTGCTTTGTCCTTATTTTGTTGCGCTGAGAAACAACAATCCTTATCGCCTAAGAATGTAAGCATACGGCGACGATCTGTATCTGTACCTGCGTCCGACCGAACGTGGATAATACGCTACCGCGTAAACCACTGCAACAAAAAAAAACACGTGTGCGCGCCTATTAAAGAACATGTTGATATATTTAGAACATGTAACAAATAAAAAGGAAGATGACGGGCAATATCGTCCTCTTTACCTTCAGTGTAAAATAAAGAGGTAAACACTAAAAAAAAAACAATGTTTTCTCTCTTTCTTCTAAAAATAAAGATAAATAAACAATATATTTTGTTAAAAAGTCTAAACTCACTTAATATTTTTTTTTTACTTATGTGTACAGATAGCAATTCAATATGTGGCGTGTGATTTCTTCCCCTCATTTGTGTATTCTTACGTCTAACGTAGACGTAACATCCTAAAAAAACATTCGTATTGTTCCACTAGACAATTCGCGCTTTCGGATCGCGATTAGTCGAAACAAAGTCATCGCGGCGATTATTATCGCGAAATTATTTTCTTTTTGTATATTCATGTCAACGCATTATCTCACCCGACTTTTTTTATAAGAACCGTTGAAGCCTCTGCAACGACGAGTAACGCGCGAGTCGTTTGGCGATCGCCTGTCTCTTCTGAAGAACGTTCCTCTTAGGATAATGATCCAGCGTGGTAAGAGGCGACGGCACAAACAACCCTTGACTGTGCCAATGATAAGCTGTCGGCACCGGATTTAGGAAAGGTATCCTCAAGGGACCGCTCAAGCTATCGTGAAGAGGATTCGCTAATTGGGACTGTCCGTGGAAGTCCACGTGTGGCTGCAACTTGGGCAAGTGAAGAGCATTGGAATGATCCCCCAGAAGGGATATTTTCAAGGGCGCGATCTGCGGCTTGGTGTCTATGTTTAGACTCGCGTACATCGACGTGCCGCCGTCATCCTCGTGCGGCAGCTTGGGCGGGTTCAAGACGAGTGGGTTTGGATTCAACGGATAGTCGAGCTGTTGCAAAGGCGGATATTCTACGTTCGGTTGAATGATCAGCTTGGGATTGTCGAAGTTTGGGAAGTGATGTTGCGACACAGTAGTAGTATAAGGCGGTAGATACGCGTTGTTTTGAACGACCGGGTAATTCTGCGCATAATCCTGAGGATTGTTGTTGTAATTCTGCGCATAATCCTGAGGATTGTTGTTGTAATTTTGCGCATAATCCTGAGGATCGTTGTTGTAATTCTGCGCCGGATTGTCCTGATTCGTAATGTAATGATCCGGAGTACCGTAAGTTGGAGTCGGATACTGCTGAATGGGGGAATTAGTATTCACGTTGCTGTTGTCCTGACTGACGACGGTCTGATCCTTCGAACCGCTGCCCTTCGGCACGCTGCTCAAAAGATTCTTGATGGCGGAGCTTTTGGTCGGCCCGCCGAAATTCTCGTCCAAATTTGGCGGATCCGGTGCGTCTTGCGCCACTACGTTCGTGTGTTGATCGTTGTGCTCGTCCAGGTCAGATTTCGTCGGCGTCACGATCAGCAGGCCACCTTGATTGCTGTCTGTGAACGTGACGTCTGTCAGTCCGGTCGGCAAGTTTACTCGGTGCGTTTGAGTGTTAAGTACAAGTTCGTTAGTCGAGTTGTGTACAAACAGATACCTAGTCAGAGCTGATTAGCACGTTGTGTTGCGAGTAGGTAGTGTGGTCGTTGTGTGCCCGCGGATATTGCATCGTGTCGTGGTTGAGAACAAGTGCCGATTGTGGAGAGCAACACGATCCAATTCTGGATTCGGTAACGTACGAACACTCACAACATATATCCGCAGGAAACTATCACAAGGTCCGTCACGACAAACAATAGTGCGGGAGTGTCAGACTAATTTTCATTTAAAAAAGTGAATTTTTGTGAGAAACACGGTGATAAACATAAAATAATTTTTTGTAGTTTGCGATTGTTACAAATGTTCAGAGAAAATGTTTGATATAGATTAACATAACAAGAGTGTACACAAATGTCATCGCAAATAATTTTGTTGCAAAAGAGAAATTTTGTGTGATATAGTTTTTTTTATACACGTCAGCGCCGAAAGATATACATATATACACACATACACATATATTTTGAATAAAAATAAATTAAAAAAGTATGTCAAACACACAAAACAGGCTCCATTACGACTTCTCGCGAGTAAGTTACGGAGAAAGTGAAAGATCGTGTGTTTGGTACGTGTAAGCGGACATTCGGAATTGTGAGACGAGAAAAGTTGTTCCGGAAAGAGAGAGAGAGAGAGAGAGAGAAAGAGAGAGAGAGAGAGAGAGAGAAAGAGAGAAATTGGTAACATTCACCGCGTGTTTCAGCAATGACGACATGCGATACGAAAGGGAAAATCGGAAACGAATTTTAAGAAAAGAAAATTATCGAAAGTATCGAAAACAAGCTTTAATTGAAGACGTTAAAAACCGGTGTCTTTTTATTCGATTGACTTTTTATTAGCAATTTCATTCGTGAAAGTGACATTTAGTTTTCGCATCATCGTTGCGAGCTACAACAAAAAAAAATAATAATAATAATAATGCCGAGACTGAGAAAACTCTCGCGTGTTCAATCGTTCGGAGGAAATTTGAAGAGAGAAATAAGGACTTTTCCTCGTCTCGCAAAAGCTAGTATTTTCTCGTTTAATGCATCGCCGGAAATATTAGACGAGAACAATTGCGTTCATCAAGCTTTCATCAAGATAATGCTATTTCTCGTATTAATTGCCGGTACATTAGAAAGGTATGCGAAAAATATAGGAAATTTACGTTGTTACAATTGTGTGTACACATTGTATTAAATTCTGAAACCTACCGTCTGATGGCACGCCTCCGTACGTCTCGTGTGGAGTGTAATCGGAATAATCGTCGGAACTTGGCGGTGGTCCTTGGTAGTCAGAATTATGTCCTATTGTTGCAAACAAGCGTTAAACTGCGGTATCGATACATGTGTTATCACAAACAAACAAAATACGACAATCAATTTGTTCAGTGCTCACAATCAGATATTGATATATAATTATCAAACTGTAAATTAACACACGTAAAAATAATAGATTTTAATTATTACACATAGTAAAAAGTTGCATTGCCGACAATTTTGCAATACGCCAACGAGTTCGCGATCTCTTAATCAGTTCCGAAACATTTTTCTCGTAAATTATAACATTCGATAGTTTATATCGTTTCTTGATGAATCCGAGAAAAGCGTGTAATCGACTTCGTTGAGTCCCGAACGCGTTATTATCGCAAATATCCGGGTTTGCGGATAATCAGCCGGCTCGCGCAATTCACTAAAACAACTTTCTACAAGGTTGTTGTTCTCGGTATGAAATTACAACTCCGATCGGTTTTTCCACGACTAATGGATCGAGAACGTAGCGTGGACAAGTAAGCGTACAGGTACGGTAGAAAGTAAAGTGCGCATCAGAACATTTTTTTACTGACACATATACGTGGAGCAATTGGTTTTATGTGTGAAACTTTGTTTGTTAATAATTTTCTAATTGATCGTTATTCACACGCGTCTACGATCGCGGAAAATACTTGAATGTAACTTTTGCTTTCGATAAAGATCGCTTCACGCATTTTTATACCTTGCACTGACGGATGATCGTAATAAGTTTCCGGCGGATAAGGTTTCGGTTCCACCACCGCGCTGGCCGCCAGCTGTTTGCCGAAGGACGTAATATAGTCGCCGGCTTTGCTGACGACTTTGCCCTTGCCCGCCAACAAATATCCGCTACCTTTGACTAACTGACCCTTGAGAGCCAGCACACCGCCGCCTATCGCCTTCAGAGCTTGGACCAGCGTACTGAAAATTGCCTTCTTGAAGTCCCAAGGACCGAAAGGTTTTTCGTCGTACTGAAAAATGGATTTATATTTTATTGCATTATGTTATAAATAAATAAATTAAATAGGTCAAATAGGAGTCCAAAAACATGGTTGGTTGTGCGTTTATTTTAATTTTTTATTATTTTAGACAGATATTGCAAACGTTTCGATCGAAGAATGCGATCTTTATCGATTAGCTTTTGCTAAACTTAATTGAAATAATTGATAAAGTTTCAAATAAAATAAAATAAAGAATCATGAGAAAATATCTCGTTACATTTGTGGTGTTAAATAATATTATATTGCGTAATAAAATAAACGAAATATAATATAAACGAGATATAAAATAAACGAGATATAATATAAACAATATATCACAAAGTGGCAGAATTAATACGTTCTTTTGTTCTTTTTCTCAAACGCTTTCTTTTTCTTCTGTTTTTCTAGATAATGTTTCGCTCAATCATTCATTACTTAACATAATGACTTGTCTAACGCCCAGCGCGGCGATTTTCACTTCGTGCTGTATCATTTACTTTAATTGCCGTATCATTTGGTCCGTGTGTATTTCTCGCGCGACGCTCCAAAGAAAATAAAATAGATCTCAAAGACACAACCATAAAAAGATCAGAGGCATGGAATTACGGAGAAGATATTCCACGCACGATGACTGAAAAACACGCCGCTAGAATTTCGCTCCTTTACGGCACAACTACGCGTCGATCTACATCACGCTCTTCTATTACGTTTTACAATTTTTTCTTTTCCGTAACTATATAAGTATATCAATCCTCTCAGATCAGCTTTTTATGTTCTACATAATTTTTTACGGAAAAACCATATTTTCTCTCCTTTTAAACTTCGTGCAAAGACATAGCAAAATCTATGTCATCATTTTTCGCAACACATTTCTATTAGTTTTGTTGTTCTCGTTTACGTTATATTATACGTAGGTGAATTATTCAGTGTTAATATATGCGTCGTGTTGATTTAAATAAATATATCACGTGAAAGCATTCATCCATATATTTATATCGTCAAAATGTATTTCTTATGAATATTCTCGCGCGTACGTGCGCGATCGAATAAATTGCGAAAAAATATACTCGATAATATACGTATTTAAACAAATAACATTCAAATATTGATTACCGAATACGTGTGTTCCACCGTGTGCACCGGAGGCTCGGCGTATGTCGGTTTATACGCCGTCTCGCTGCTACTCGCCGATGCCTTCGCCGCTGAAGCACTCGACGCGCTCGCAACGCCGCTTATCAATCCACCCGCGATGCCGGTGAGCAGACTGGCGGATCCGGCATTGTAGCCTCTCTTTATCCTCTCCTGCATCATCGCGGCGTACTTGGGATCGCCGGTGATAACGCCGGTTAGCTTCTCGTTGCCGAGAACCTGCTTTGTCACGTCGGATTCCGTCTCTTCGGGAAGAGGCTCGAGCTCATCCCAAAGTGTGCTTTGCTCCGCTTCGCTCTTCGTCTCATCCAGGTGATTCTGATCCACCGGGGTTTTCCAAATTTCCAGTAAACTTTGAGAGATCGGATTTTCCAATTCTCCAATAAATATCGTGGGATCGAATTTTTCTTGAATCTCCGGAGGTCTCCGAAACGCTTCTAATCGTTCGAGTTGCTGCGCCGCTCTCCTCAGCAGTTCTTCCTGCTCGGTCTCCACAGTTTCTGATCGCGCCACGATTAACGAGCACCATGTCACTATCAAGAGTTCCGTCAGCTGAAACGCACACGACGAAACGACAAATGCGAAGAATTATATTATATATGTAATAATTCATCAATTTTTCTTGTCACGTGAATTCTTTTCGAGTGTTAATTGAGGTTTTTGTGTCATATATTACGAGAAAAACTTGTCAAACTATTTTAATACATAAATAAATATTTTAGTACGTATATAAAAAGACATATCTAATAATATAAATATGCAATGAGGAACTTCGTTTATCCGAACGACTTGAGGCTCCAACCTCTCTATTATACGAACCGATAGTTCGTTCGTATAATATATATCTCTACACAGAACAAGAACTCTATTGTTGATGTTTATTAGACATCAACAGCTCCATGCGATATCTAATAGATTTCTAATGGAGTGTTTACTCCGTATGGGTATAATATATCGGTTTGTATAATAGAGGTTGGATCTCGGTTATCCGAACTATCTTGTCCTCCGATCGGGCTTGGATAAACGAGGTACCACCGCATGTAAAAAAAATATATATATCTCAAATTAAACAAGCAAGAGCAACTAACGATACGAGGTGTATGCTATAGTGTATCAGAATTCATCAACGATTAACTTCCGCTGAGAGCATTGACCGTGATAGTTTTTTCTAATTATATCGAGATTGTTAAACGTCATAATTTAATTACTACTTTGTGTTTTGAGGGTCAAGTGTTGATTTCCGAATTATTCAAGCGTATAGAGAAGCGCACGAGCGCGGCAAGTAGACCGGCACCTCTGGGTGAAAGTCACGCGACTACCGGCGGCGATTCCGAAGTGCGTTCGATGCATGAAATCCGCCGCCGTTTATCACTTGAGGCAAACTCAAAGCGACCTCTCGGGAATGTAGATGATTTCACAGAGATATCGCGTAAGACAAGCAAGAATAAACGTCACTAATTAGCAATAAAATGCAACGATATTGAGATTGTTGTGCAATCCAGCAACTTTCTGCGGAATAATCTCGTCTTGTTCCGGGAGCAAAAACCCTATATTTCGTGTCAGTGAACAGGATAAGTAATTTCATTGTTGCAATCAGAATGGCGAATAAAACAAGAGGCTAAGAGACGACTCCTTCTGAATTATCGCAATCTTGAGGAGAAAACTATAAAACAACAAATAAACAATGAAATTATTTCAAGATAGATTCGAGATATATTTTATTCAAGATAGATTGGGCGATCAGAATATAAAATCTGACTTTTTTACGCATCACAGAACACAGACGATTGGCGTTCGAACGAGAGTGACCGTTGAAACCGACCTTGATCTTGCGTGCGCGAGTCGTCATCGGCTGACCCGATTTTTCTACCATCCGAGCGTTGCGCGCGCTCGTGTTTTCTAAAAACGCGGCAATCGAAATGCTAATGAGTTTTACTTCCGTGTCGTAAACGAAGTTCTTGCGAAACTCAATTTTCTCTACTTTACAAAATAGAAAGGAGTTGAAGAAAGATGAGTGTGTTCAGAGTGTTCACACAGATCTCTTTAGCGGACACGTGTCGCGAGTTTTACTATTCCTTTTAAATAGACGAATAAACACGCTTGTCAACTTTTCTTTTTCTGTCGCACATTAGTCGCGCATAATTAAAAGCTAATGTTGTAAAAATTATCCAATCGAGAGAAATAAAATATTATGTAAAAACGTGAAAGCAGGTTATTCGAAAACTTTCGAAATAAACCGTATGCAGTGTTATACAAGTGGTGAAAAAGCAAGTAATAAAAAATTAATTTCTTGTTTTCACAAATGAAAACCGAAAGGATTAATAAGACAAGAGGAGACCAGTCAAAAGTGAATGTTAGGTTTAAATTGTTCTACAAACGGAAGAGAGTGTGTACTCGGAAAGTGGCTCAGAAAATCGAAGCGCGAACGGCAGCTATTTACGAGAAACGCGCTCAGATCCAAATTATCAGACAATACTAATAACTCGTTGAAATTAGTTACTCGAATCTCTTCCCATTTTGTAGAAAGTCAAATAAATACACAGATACAGAGAACGTCATATATACACACACGTGCACACACATGCACGTACGCACACACACAGACGGACGTGTTAGTTATTGTGTTAGCAATTATTTCTTCACGGCTTTGCAACCGTTGAAGAACCCGCGCGCAATTCTTCTCTTTGTTGCGTGTGAAACTCGCGGACATCGAGTATGTACCGAGAAGGAAGGTTACGGCCAGACTTTGCACAACTTTCACGTGGATGAGAAGACTATCGAGCGCCGCATCGACGTGAAATTCGCAAACAGCGAACAACAACAAACACCAGAAAGGAAAGAAGCGAAGAAAATCACAAATTTTTTTTTTTCATAAAAACACTTTTCCGTCTTGCTCGTCGTGAAACTCGCAAGCTTTCGTTCGTGTGATTCGCGAAAGCTGATGCGGTATATATCGCGACGAAATTAGAAGATACCGACTACTACTAATCGGAAGGTAAATGAAAATGAAGAATTGCTTGTCTTCGCGCGTTTTTTTTTTGTGATTAGTGTTCAAAATATCAATTAACACTTCCACATAAATCTTCACGGATTAACGCACACAATTGTGAAGCACACGTACATATACCTTCATATTTGACTTTCACGGTACAACGGCGAAATGATCGCGGCACTCTCACTAAACTCACTGGCCATCACCGCGAGGTATATCCTCTCTTTATAGCGACTCCCACTTTGTCGATTATCAAGAAAGTGACATCCACATCTGTGTTGCCAAAATTAACACACATTGCACAACACGCAAAGTTATGCCGTTTAAATATTAATTAAACGGGAGTTTTTTTTCCGTCGTGAGTTAAATAATCAATCGAAAGAAAACAAAAGGCGATAATGATCGTTTCAATTTTGGTGGTTTTTCAACATACATTTTGACTGATCTTCGTCAATACTCTGTTTGTTCCGAAGATTTACGTGTTTTATAAATAAACTTTTTAATAATGAAAAAAAACAAAATTGTGATAAAATGACAAAACAAATATATTCTCGTATTTACTCGTTCTGATATTGATTACCAATTAAGAACAAAAATGTTTTATTAAATCCTGCGATTTTACGATCGCCACGTGTTTAAACATTTTAATGGATTGTTAAATGTGACACAGAACATAAATTTTCTCGCATTTACCGTTCCCCGTTATCGATTGACAACCAGGAGCAAAGTGTCTCGTTAAAATCTGCGATTTTACGATCGGTGATTTAAACGGATCAGTGTATATTCGATTTTTTTCGTGATACTTAGGTATTTTGATTACATTACTCTGCTAAATAAATAAAATTACATAACGCGGCAAATGTTTTTTAGAAACGTGTCGTAAGTCGAGAGTGTAACGATAATAATAAATACGGATGTGTGCGATTAGCATTTTACCACAAAACAGACCGAGAAGTCGGGTGTTAGTTTGCTTTCTCGATTTTCATCGCGCTAACTTGTCACGATGCAGATTGAAATTTGTCACGCAGAATGTAATTACGCGTTATATTGGACGCGCGTTGCTAAGTACAATACATACACACACCGTAGAAACGCGGAAAAGAAAGGGCTTCAAGTGTCGGTTTTAACCAAATTCGCGAGTCGCATCACGTGAACGAAAGTCACACCGGAAGAAACGTGTCATCTCGGCAAACAGGGCTGTTCGTTTCCGTCTTTGTCATAAGCATGTGTACGCGCATATGAATAATAAAGTAACAACAAAAGTAAGAGCTTCTACGTCTGAACATTGTGGAGAACGGAGAAGAAGAGAAAGATGAGAAGTACAAAAAATTAAGAAAAATGATATGATCAAGAAATCTCTTCTCAATAAAACTGCCATTAAATATTGTAACATCACTTTAAGAGATTTGTCACTCACACAAAACAAACGTGAAATATTTTGCTGCTTATATATGCGAATTTACTTTAGAACTTAAATTTTCATTTTTAAATCAATATATTTAAATTAATGTTTTAAGTTTATTTGTTATTGGGCTAGTTTGCGGGATGTTTGTGCAATTAATAAAATAATTGATTTTTTCTCCAAACGTTTTGGCTTTATTTGAAGTCTTCAACTGACATAAAACACGTTATTATTACGCATTATTTTCGTCATGCTATAAAAGTTAGAACGAATTGTCAATTTAAGTAGTGTATTTCGCTGAGAAAGACTTCAGATAAAGTCAAAACGTTTGGAGAAAACATCAATTACTTTGTTAATTAATGTTTTCACAATATCCCACAAGCGGTTTAAACTAGCCCGATCACAGACAAATTCTGGACATTTCGCGCGCGCGCGTTACGAACCAAACTCAAGTAAAGTTTTCTTTAAATATACGTTATTTATATATGTATATATATATGTACTTTTTAAGTTTTTTATTTGTGTAAGATATTGCATACAATGACAAATCAATATGTAAATTGTATAGTGCTAAGAAAACATTAAAGACAAATTAAAATTAAACTTTAAGGAAAACCTAAACTTTAAAAACAAATTATAAATCGTTTCACAAACAAGAAACTTATAAAATTACGTATATCAGAGAATTATGTGTGTACGTTTGCTTATTTATTTAATTTAATAAAAACTTTCAAAGAAACTTGCGCTTTTAATTTGCGACGTGTAAGCATTTTTGATTTACAAATGTATTTTTCATTCAATTTATATCGCAAAATCGTACTCGTAAATCGTATATTGTTCGACTTATCTGATTGGCAAGCGTTTGTCTGTCGACTCTTACTTTTGATCGCGTATGTCGTCCACGCGGAATGAAATCCAAATCACTGCAGCGTGATGGTCTCTTTACCTCTATTATATTTCCGTCGATGTGGAAAAGAAAGTATGCCGTTAACATACGTCCCGGCTTACGTCCCGATTGTAATTCGCAAAGAGTGGGAGGAGTCAATTAGTCATGAAAATGAATTTAAGAATACTGTACTTTATTTTACCCGCGTAATAGGAAGATGATTGCCATCAACTGTACATCGAGTTGTAACAACTAGACAAATCCGAATGCTCTTTTCTCGCGGCCGTTTCCTGGCCCCATCGAGTTTGCAATCGTTAATCGTTTTCAATTACTTCTTATATAAGTAACAATTGCGCATTTATACACACAATTTGACATCAAATTATCAAAACTGCGACGATGTAAAATGGACTAGTAATATTAGTCAACAGATCATATTTATTAGTTATTAGTTACACTTGCCAAATTTGATAAAATTTAGATATGTAAATTATTTGACATTTACATATCTAAAGATGTGTAAATTATTTAATTGCGGCAGAAAAAAAGTCGATCAGCAAGAGCAAATTTCTTAATCGAATACAAAACAGCGTAGGCACACTAGTATAGACTAGTTAACTAGATATTTGTTTATTTGACACGTTTAAGCCTGTTGCAATTATAATCCTATATTAAAAAAGGCATTTGGACCGAGAGTGCGCGTTTGGAATCGAATATATCGCACCTATTGTTGTCTCTTTTCCGCGTTGCCGATTGGTTGGTTGGTTGATCGAGTCGAATCGAATCGGTAAGATCGAGAGAGTAAATAATGAAAAGCGATTTTGAGACAGTTCGTCGTATATGTAGAGAAAATTAAAAACGCGCGCGTAACTAAAATCACGTAACAGGAAAGAGTGGAAAAACAACACGTGAAAATAACGTGACTGTAATTTATATTATATATAACATTAAATAATACATATTATACATATAATTTATTATATATTTATAATATTATACTTTATATTTTGTATTATATGTATTATATACATACTACAGTAATGTCACTGACCACGGCCGCGCGGCCTTGACGGAGCACTGACCTCGGCCGCGCGGCCTTGGCGGGTCACTGACCGCGGGCGCGCGGCCTTGGTGGGGGCGGGGTCACTGACCGCGGGCGCGCGGCCTTGGTGGGGGCGGGGTCACTGGCCTCGGCCGCGCGGCCTTGGTGGGGAGGGGTCACTGACCGCGGTCGCGTGACTGCGGTGAAGTCACTGATCTCGGCCGCGCGACCGCGGCGGTGTTACTGACTTCGGTCACGTGATTACGGTATATATATATATACATACATGCGTATGTGTGTGTATTATATATAGAGATATAGAATATTACATATAATATATATAATATTCTTTTTTTACCCTTTTCCCTGTCACGTGTTGTTTTTCCACTTCTCTCTCTCACTATTTTTTGAGTTTGATTTTCATGCGTTATTTCTGACATTTCTCATATGTGTATTATATGGTTTATAAGACGTATATACTACTGTCATCGCGGTGACAGTTTGTGTTCACTGACACGTTAAATAAAAATAACAATAGCGTGCGCGTAGCGCGCGCCTGTGTTGTGCTAGTAAATGTTGCAAAAAGTTTCTACTTACCTAATTTTTCAAATGTCTTGACGGAAGCGGATACATCGATAATTTTCGTGCGCAACGAGAAGTTGCACACGACATTCTGTCAGAAAGATAACACACTCCAATTAGTTTGTCATTCCTTACGCCATTCATTCTTTATTCTTATGTCATTTGTTGCGGAAAATATGCGTATGTAATGACTTCGAAAGTATTTTGTTATATCGTATTATTTATTTAATAAATTTATTAAGCAAATTATTTTATTCTAATAAAATCATTTTCTCTTCCCGATGCAAGAAAAATTAATTGCAAAATAATGAAAAAAATAAGAAATTATTTATTACTGACAAATTAATGAAACTTAAAACCGATCTTTAAAAACGATCAGTAGTTTTGTTTTCTCTCTTCTCTTTCTGGACGTAATTGTGACGATCTATATCGTTATCGAGACTTGCCGGCAGTAAGGAAGGATGCGCGCGCTCGCGCGAATATAGGTTTAGTGGAAAGGAGGACAAATATCAATAAAATACGTATTGGCATAGTGAAAATATGTAATATAAACATATTTTATGCAATATATGAAAACTTATAGATACACAACACGGCTTCGTCACCACCGATACCACCGCCACTCCCAGCACCTGCTCCACCTCCGATCATCATCAGTAATTAATTATATGTATATCTTCATCTTTTTGATTAAAAAAAAAACTCTTGTATACATTGCATTTGAAACAACGTGATACACGTACGTTATCGTTTTTATTTAAAAAAAATGAAAGTTTATTGTGGAAATTGCAACAACAATTTATTAATTAATTCTCAAAAGAAGCAAAGAAAAAAACACCGCGATTAAAAGTAATTCTTAACGTCCTACTGAAGATTTGTTCGTTCGATTGAGCTTTTTGTTCTTGAAAGGGCGGATTGGAAGAGGACGGCGATGTAATTCAAGCCCTCGGAATCATCTCGCCCTTCGGCCGAGGATGTTTGTTGTGGTTGTGGAGAGCGGGAGCAGAGCGAGGGGGCGCGCGGTGCAAGAAGTCTCTTCTCGCTCTCACTCTCAAACTAATTTCCATGTTACGTGTTACAAATCAGTGCGCACGGCGTACAATCGTACAATCCAAGATTATATCATATATATACAGAACAATCTTAAACCGCTGAATCTGTGGGTAAAGAACGCGCGATTAAGTTCATCTACCGCGGCTGGTCTTCCTTTTCCGTCTTTCACTTTTTCTTCAGCTTCGCGTGCGCGAAATTGTGAGAGAAAAAAAAACATCATCAAAGTTCGGTTTCGTACATATATGTGTATATATGTATATATACATATCGATTCAGAACCGAGTCCGCGCGAAATTAGTTTGGAGTTTCTTCTTTTCGTTTAAATAACCACACCGGCCGCGGAATTCAGCCGTCGATACCACGCACCGATCGGTTCAGAATCGATATCTCGTGTAAATAAGCACCATTGCACAGCCTAAACGAGACGAAATACTCTCTTTCTCGGAATCTTCAGCGCAAATCCGCCTCGAACATGTGTTTATACGCGTATTTGTTTCTCGGTGCGAACGGAACCAACCGCGGTAGAGAAAAAAGCGAGAGAGGCGGCTTCGATGAGAGATCGCAGGATTTTCATTTTTTTTTTTTTTGTTTTGTTTTGTTTTGTTTTGTTTATTGGCGGACAGGCGAATAGAGATTGAGAATCTGAGGAGGATTAAGGTACTCTCGATGACGATTATTTATTTATTTTTTATTTTTTTTCGTGCGTAGTCGCTCAATAGTTTGAAAAAAGACGAAGGACGAAGTATGCGGCCAGACAAAGTCGCGAAAGTTTCCGAAGTCTCGGAAGGATCTCTCCGGACGATCCTTTGTGTTCTCAAAATGACGGATTTGCATTTTCTCTCGAGGAGCAATCCTCTTGCGACAACGAAACTTTCGTGCCGGACCACAAGAGAAAAGCTCTTCCGCGCGAGTCCTCGGAATTTTCTGCCGAGACGCAGGCGCGAGCGAATCGCGACGATTTATCTCCGCGCGCGTTCGATCAGTTATGACGCTGTGAGAAGTCGATGTGTGTCATATAAATAGAACTCGCGGACTCACGCAAAATTTACAGAGAACGACAGCGTGTGTAACACCGTGATTACTCGGTGCTCGGTCATTCTCCAGCAAACACGGAGAGGGAGAAGAATAACGGCGGTTCGTACACGCGGCGCGCTTGTTCTCTCGTCGAGTGACAAAATAATTTCTACCGACTCTCTTCACTTCCTCTTCCTATTCCAGCTACGGAAATACTCGTATGTACGAAAGCGCGATATATCTCTCGAAATATTCATCGTTCCTAGGACGATATATATATAATTGTTTTTTTTTTCTTCATAAAGTTCTCAGACCACACGACGATTCCGTCATCCCAATTTCACAGCAATGAAACATATTTATTTAATTCTCGAGCGTTTTCGCCGCTGCTCTCGACTTTTGCTTAAATGTTTTTCGGAATTATGAAGAAGCACTTTTCTCTTTGCATAAATTTAATAATTGGGCGCAGACACTAGGTATAAAATGTTACATATACATATGTTTTGCCGATGCGAGAGAAATGTGACGTGTGTAAAATTATCTTTTACGTAGTACGTTTTTATTTATTTATTTTTTTTTATTATTTTTTTTCGAGGGAAATCGAAGTCGTTGTCGAAATATTTGCGCGACCGATTGTGATTGTCGCGTGACACTTTGAATGTGTGTGACTTGTGAAACAGATCGCTCACGCATTGCTCTTCGTTTCGCGTCTTCCGTTGTTTGTTCTTCGGGCACATCTTCGCCAGCTGCGTCCATGTCTCTGTGCGACCGAGGGTGGTCACGTTAATTTGGCCGGGTTTTTCAATCTTGTTCGCGCGTTTTCATACCTCTCTCATATCTTTCGATTACATCTTCCGACTATAAAAATAGTTCGAACAATTTGCGCAACAACACTTTTATTTACTTATTTATTTTTTTTTTTTTTTTTGATATTGTTTTAAATTCGTGATTTATTTAAACGCAAGTAGTAAAACGAGAAATTTGAAGAAAACACATAAAAATATATAACGCATATCTGATTTGCCGTGATTAATTAATATGTTCACACGCGCGTAAGATAAAAAAAAAAGTACATATATATATATATATATGTGAGCATTTCTTCTATACATTCTTTGTCCGACTACAAAAATAGAGATGTTGTATTTAATTGTTTAAAGCAACATTAAAAGTAAGTCCTTAACCAGCACGAGAACGTATATACTTAATTTAACTGTATAAATTATCTCTATAATTAAATTACAACTTAAAATAATTGTAAGTACACTGTTGTTATACAACAAGAATAGAAAACATTTTTATCATCGTTACTAATTGAAAGAATTGACGTGCCAGCTAAGGAATATATATATATATTTTTTTTAAACGACAAGTCTACTTATACAATTATTCGAGGAGCCAGCCCTCGTTTCGTTTCACGAAAAAAAAATAAATTTTTTTAATACGGGCTGGCGGATAAAGGCCAGGCAGAGCGATATGTATTTTCGTCACACACGGATAACAACATCAGTGATCCGTTCATCGGCGAACGTGGCCGCCCTCGGCCGGGACCACGCCGGACTCTTCCTATTTTCCTTTTTTTTCTTTTTTTTTTCTTTTTTTTTCTAAAAGATTATCTCTATATCGTACGTAAAAACTCCTGCCGTGTACCTAAAGTGCGAGAATCCACGTGTGCTGCGTGTCACTACTTGGTATTTTAACAATCAAAAAACCGCTATCTGCGAAGTTGAAAGCTGCGTTTTTTTTTCTTCCGTATTTAGCGCTGCGCCGCTGGCACTACCACTTTGTTTTTTGTCGCAGAGAGTCAACTACGAGTCGTGTTACGTGTGTGTAAGTGTATGTGTACGTGTGTGTGTGTAATTTAATCGTTACATCGAATGTATTTTGGTATCGGTTACAGCCTAGAATACTGAGCAAAGAACGAATAGATCAGCGATCGGTGATCCGTGAACGATCTCGTAAAACGCCATGAGTTCGTTTCCTCTCTCTTTCTCTCTCTTTTTCTTTCTCCTTGGCCTTGATGTTTTCGTTATTCATCGTAAACGTAAAGATCCACGCAACGATCTAGGTGAAGATCCTCAGGGTCATCGATCGCTGTTATTTTATTTATTTATTTTTTTTTCCAGCCTTTTTAACCGGTTCGCGACGTGAACGGCGGAAATACAGAGACGTTTTGCGAGAGGACGAGAAAAACGAAAAGAGAGGAAGAGAAACCAACGTTTTTTTACAGCGTTTTCTTTAGGAGCAGTAGCGACTCGCGAAATGCTTTGTAAAAAATTTATAGAATATATATGATATATACATCTATATGTTTCTCACCTTTCTGTATATATGTATACATATATATATATATACATACGTATTATTTATATATGTAAAAGTACATATATTTATTGCGTAGGCGTAATGTCGTCGCGGTGTTATTTTCTTCGTCTCCTCCCCCCGTCGCGCTTGCGCTTTTCTTCCGTTTGCAATATAGTAATAATATAGCATATAATCATATATATATATATATGTATGTATGTATATATATATATATATGTAATACCAATAATAATAAAAATATATTAATTAATAATAGTAATTAATAATTACAATAGTAACAATAATATCAACATTAAGAGCAATGATAATAATAATGACCTTGATAGTGTCTAGTGTGGCCTGCGCGACTTTCTCGCTGTCGTCTATTCTGTTTTGTATATAAAGAACATGACTACTTTTTGTACGGCGGCTGAACTAGGAAAAATCGTTTTTTTTTTCACGACGTTTCTCCGATGTCCCGGCTCTCTCAGTGATTTTACTACGTGATAATTATACTTTTCGGCACCGCGAAACTCTTAATTTTTAAGTACCGTTTCTTTAATACATACCGTCGTCGTCTAACGCGTTGTCTATTGAAGCAAGAATAAAAAAGTAGAGGTGCTCTCTCTTTCTCTCTCGGTCGTCTTGTTTAACCCGCCAGAAGCTGAAGCTGTGTTCGCCCGAGAGCCTTTTCATTCGATGACAAAACTCTCTTCGACGAACGCGAGTCGATCCTACAAACTTTGCGTTTTCACGACAAAAACGTGGAATCAAAGATTTTTAGCTTAAATATTTGTACGATAAATCAGCGAAGAATCACAACTATGTGTTTTTTTCACATATATTTTAATCATCACAAGCTTTTTTTTATCGCATTAGCTGTATTTATCGTAGGAATATTTACGTTTGATGTGTGTGTCTAACGGGTTAAAAATATATTTCTTCTTTTGTGGCTAATTCGATCACGCGAGACGCAAGAAACAAGATCTTCGCTCGCGAATTTTCGTTCTCTTTTCAAATTCTTCTTCAATCATTGATCTCCATTAAATTCATCACGCAACGTGTTGTGTACTTTCAATTGCGTTTTTTTTTTTTTTTTTTTTTTTTGGTTTTAATTCGCCCCTTAATGCCTTGCTTCTCTTATGATATATTAACACGTACGCGTGTTGTGTCAACGTGTAAATATATATAAATAATTATTTGCGATTCTGTGTATGTGTGTATGTATGTATGTGTATGTGTGAGTAAAATAATTGGCGTCTAATTGGCGATACGATATAGTTTTTTCTTTCGTTTGCTTCTCTTCGACACGTAAAAAATCGATCTGAAGGAACGAATACATTCAATAGTTCGAGATCCCTGTTCGGGAAACCCGAAGAGAGACGAGCGATCCGAAGCCGAACGTATGTACGCGAAAGGCTCTATAATCGCACGATGAATTTTTAACAAGCGACTGTTTTCAATCCGGATTAAGAAACGGAGACAACAACGCAGTCGCAAATAAAAAAAAAAAACAAAAAAAAACAAAGGTGTACTTACGCTCTATGAAAATTCTTCGGCCGATAAGCTTGCCGCTATTTAACGCTACGTTTGCGCTAAGTGTGCACAACGTGACACAAAACTTCGTCTCGAAGTGCAATATATAAGTTTACAAGTACAAAAAGTGTTTTGTGATCTTTGTGCTTGCAGATTTGTCTTTTCAGACACACATGCAATTGAAGGGAATAAAAGCGTAGTCTAATGCTTTTAAATTCTGTTTCTTATAAAAACGTTAAAGTTTTTCGCTCGAGTTTTATCGCTTTTATAAATATCTTTTATATATAGTACAGCTTTTCGAAAAAATTTTTCTCGCTACATATAATAACGCGCGGTCTGTAACATTTCTGAAATTATCATTACAAGTATTTTGTATTCCTTACATCGCGATGTGTTTGCGAATAAAAAATTTTAAAAATTATTTCGATGTATATAAATTAGCTTTTATATTTTGTCTCAAATGTAAAACGAGCGATACTAGTTCCTCAGACCCTTACACTCCCTTCAACGACATGTTGACTCCGATTGTGAAACCCGCAAGCAAGCGCGTTACACAACATTGCTCGCGACTCGTCAGTAAAAAGAATTAACACTCCGAGACAAGCATCTTAATTACGACGTCGATAGGAATAGAAATAAAATTCCATAATCGAACGGCTTCGGTCGCGCTATCTCTTTCATGATTTTCCGCGTTCCCGTCCCATCGGGATAAACGAACCGATCGTTTTCGCGGCATGTATGTCACAGCTCTGCCGCGGATTACAGAATAATTCCGCGTGCTCGCGCGCACGTTTCTCTCTTAACTCCCGTGATCCTGATCGAGCTCGTCCAGCGACTCAAGCCTGGCTATCGGCGCCTCGTTTATCGTAAACTCCCACGACATGTCCTCGCTGGTCTGTCTCGAGGACTCCTGCTGTCGAATTTCTCCTCTTGCCTGCTGCGCGCCGTTTCCGCCACCTTCTTGCTGCTGTCTACCCTCGGACCGCCCTTGCTGTCCCGACGTGGATTCCGCTCCGGCGCCGCCGCGATGATTTGTGTCTTTGCGCGTGTCCCCGCTGCGCGGACGCTGGGCGCCGCTCCGATCCCCCGTGATCGACACTACACAGCTCCACGGATCCTCGCCTTCCGGTTCCGACCGCTTGTTGAACGAACTGTATCTGTCGCAGGGCACGCTTTTGTCAACGCGCGGTAGCGACGTTCTCGTCTCGACGTCGAGCGCGCGACTACTAAACGTGAACAAAGAAATCGCGTCGATGTTCGCGTTTAGTAGCCGCACAGTGGCGCATTTTTTAGAAGGTGGAAAGATCAGAAAGAAAAACGATATAAATAGGTAATTTTTAAAGCAGTAAAAATAAAAATGCGCCACTGCTAGCAATAACTTTTTCCAAATTTCTATACTGTTTTCTTTTATAATTTTCCAAGATATAGAGGAATGCGAATATTTTCCTCACAGCGTCTTGTTGGCACGACTACCTACCCACTTCTGTATTCACCCCTCCTGAAGGCGGCCGGCTGACTGTGCCAAGCGTGGGCCTGGTGAACCTGCTGTTGAGTGGTGGTCGGTACCGCCAGGTCGACCGGTTGGCTCTGCGACCTCGTCGGTCCGGTGCGTCCGTTCAGCGCCGTTTGCAACGCAGTCGCGAGCGCGGACGTGTCCGACGTGACGGTCAGTCGCGACGTGCCCGACGACGTGGACGTCGGTTCTCTCGTAGGAAGTCTGCTACAAAAGGGAGCCGGGGCTCGTATCAGCGGTTCAACGCGCGGACGGCAACCTTATTTCTTCGCAAATAAGTAACCGCTAAGATAGCTGAGCGAGATATATGTAATATATATATATATATATATGTATATATATATACTTGAAAAAGCAATACGTGGTTGTTATGTACAAGTGGGATGTTCGACAGGCTTCTCTAATCCTCTAATGTAAGTTTGATTCCCGAGCAGTGTCACGGGCTCCGCGAGCCTCGATGCCGACATTTATAATCGGCTACGATCGATCGAGAATGAATGAGAGCGAGATGACTGACTGGACTACAACTAGTAAACGTGCGCGAAAGAGATAACTGTGAAAGATGATATTGTATATTGTGAGATCGCGGCTTGATCAACTTCGGTCGTAGTTTAATTGACTTCTTTATGAACGAATGTTAGGAAATCATTCCTCTGGTTCTATTAAACTAGGATTAAAGTTTGATTGCTGAAATGTTCTCTCTACTGCTATAAACGGAGTGTTTGCTTGAAACACAGCTCTCTCTCTCTCTCTTTCTCTGGAAATAAAGAGTGATCGAGCAAAGATAAATGTTCAACAAGGATTTCAGCGAGTAGTTCAGATAGGCAGTAAGAGAGAAAGTGTACGTGCACAAATGATAGAAGATAAAATAGTTTTTTTTTTCTATAAAAGAATAGATATATATATACGTATACTTTTACCTCAGACTTTTCATCACACGCAACGCCTCTGCTTGCATTTGCTTTCAATAAAATTGTAATATTTAACACATTGCCGACCGATGTGGGAGATCTCCCCTCGTTTCGCGGTAAGGCGTACAATACAGGCGGACTCCGCCGCGCGGTCGGCAATGTGTTAACGAGCCATGTGCTTCTTGAGTATCATCAAAGCCTTCGAAGCGTGCGAGAGATATATAACGACATCTACAGGAAACAGTGTAAAAAGTACTACAAGATTCTAAAATTCATGAAACTCAAAACAAATCTACGTCCTTGCTTTTTTTATACACAGTCGTTGATTTATTATAATACAATGGTATGTCTCATTACTGGCTATATTACAATTGGAATTTGAAACAAGTAGAGTTTAGTCTGAAGATATGGATCTACTTAACGAATGATATACATTTTTCTTCTCTCGATTATTGTCCGTGACACTGCTCGCAAGGGAGTTTTTCAAAAGAAGAATACGTGATTGGTGGTCACCTTCGGAACTTGTCCAACTTTTCCAAAATAAAAGACGCCGAAATCAAATGCAACTGATCCAGGGATTTCGAAAGAAGGCTTTTCGGGAATAACAAAACATCGATTACTTCCTGCGAGATTCAAAGTTTTCAGTTTCGGAGTCTACTACGGTATATATCGCGCGATATTTGTGTAAAACGTGAACGTGTTTTATCGCGCCGCGACAGACGCGCCGCGAACACTACGTCTACCGCAAAATGTTCGACTTTCAACGAGCACGAAGTGACGAGTGGTGGATACGTGATATTCCGAACTAATCAGAACCGAGATTAAACGCGCTAGATCTCGCGTGTTATCCTGCGCGTCTCTCACCTGAACAAGCCGTGCGACGTGCTGGGTTGAATCTTGCCGTTGCCGTTACTCGCCGGTGCCGTCGGAGGCTGCGGCTCGCTCGCCGATCTCTGAACCAACGCCGGCGCTCGGCTGCTCTGCTTCGCGCCGGTCGCCGCGCCGGTTCCCGGCATCATCTCGACGCTCGAGCTCTCCCGCGACGAGTTGAGAGTCTGCTGAAGTAGGCTCAGAATCATCCGGATGTCACCGGCCATCGAATGCTCCAGAGAATGCACTTGACGCGACAGCTGATCGATTCGGGTGTTGATTTCCTCCAGAGGTCGGCCCGGGCCGCTCTGAAAATCGCCTGGAACGGGGCAAACGTTTACATCTCTAGGTGACAGCAACGTTGGTTTTGATCGTCGGGTATTCGCAACGCAACTCACGGTAACATATAAATATACGTACATGGGATCGGTATAACATTTAACGACACAACAATCGGATAAATATGACAACAAAAGACGACGGAAGAATTTTTTCTTTTTTATCGAAAGAGGAAAAAAGAAGAAAATGAAATATACAGAAAGTGAAAATGTGCGTGACGCAGTCAGCTACATGTAACTTAGTAAAAATAAGAGATGTGAATCCCTACCATGGGAATGAGGATGCTGCGGGGGCGATGGTGTGGTGTAGTGGCTCGACGTTGTCGAAGTGGGATGAACGACGTTTTGACTGAGTGAACTCTCGCCAGCGGCGGAACTTCGGCGCGCTGATTTCATCAACGGTGTGGTCACTAGGTTTTATAAACGGTCACCAGTGAGTTACCGGCGTGAATATGTGAATGAAGTATATAATCCAGTCAATATAAATGAAAAAAGGACTTTTGCTTGCAAAACTTCCGGTAGTTTTGATTTTTGAATATGTTCTTAAAGTTCGGTGTTCTAATAAAAATCCCAAGTTTTCCAACTCGGCGAGTCGCCGCTTGCGCCGTCATCTTGGAAAAATAACGTCTAAAACACGTTTTTTTGCAATATTTTTTCACCAGTGGGTCTTACGATAAAAATAGCTATATTCAATCTTGTAGAGAAGAACATTTCCTATAACTTTTGTCTAAAATATTTTTTTTTATCTTTAGCTATTTATCTTATAGCTATTTTTATCGTAAAACCCACCGATAAAAAGATATTGCAGAAAAAACGTGTTTTAGACGTTATTTTTTCAAGATGGCGGCGCGAGCGGCAACCCACCGAATTGGAAAACTCGGGATTTTCATTAGAACACCGAACTTTAAGACATATTCAAAAATCAAAACTATCGGAATTTTTGCAAGCAAAAGTCTTTTTTTTTCATTTATATTGACTGGACTAATAGGAAAACAAAAACAAAAGAGACGTTCTCGTCGCAATACAAATGCAAACTACAACCGCGCTAAAGGAGGGGGGGGGTCTTCTACTTTGTGCGCTGCGTAGTATAAGTCGCAAGTATATAAAATCGAATACAGTCATACTCTCATCTGGGTTCTGGCGAGCGATCTGGGGGGGGCGGATCTTCGCAGGTCGGGGATTTGTTTGTTTTTTTTGAATGCACATAACAACACAACAAGCTTCATCTATTTCCGGTAATCGAAGAAGTACGAGATACTTACTGTGCTTGGCGAGGTAATCGTGGCTGGTAAGCGGCTGCAGGTGAATCTTGTGCTGACGTAGATCCGGTATGCTGCGCTTGAGATGGGTTAGCATGCCTGAACAACCAGGTTTTAAGGTGTTATCGAACTTGGGACTCAAACAAAAAGCAATACACAAAGGGAGAACAAAAAAAAACGGGGGCGTAAGATGAGAGAGAACAGGGAACGTTATACGCTAAACAGATCGAGAGAATCGACGTAAAGAGCTACTGTGTCGAGCTGTAGGCGTAAAAATGTTATTAATTTCGAAAGCCTGTGTAGAGAAAGGATTGTTTCTTCTTTTTAATGTCGTAGCGGAGATTTATACAAGCGAATTTAATTAGTCAATTCTAAAGGTTCACGTAATACATTTAACGCTGAATATGATTGCACAAATTGAATATATTCTTTTTATATTTGATATTGTTTAGTCGAGTTGTGGAAAATAAAAAATCAGATTTAGCGTTAAACGTGAGACGTCAATGCAGGCGAAAATTTGCAGTCAATCTTACAAAGGAGTCTTGCCATTAGTTAATGAGAAAAAGTTTCGCAAGTATCCAAAATCGAAAAATCTCACGAGTCAATCACGAGAAAATTGTATCCTGTTTTATGGAGGAGTCTATCTCGTCGTGCAAAGAACAACATTCCTCAAACAGAAGATTAGAAGAGCAAACAAGAAAAAAAGAGATCAAACTGTTGCTTCCCCGGAGCGAGAAAGCCTCAATTGAAAGAGATTAATTCTCGCTTACCAGTTATTGAGTTTAAAGTCGAACTTCTCTGTTTCGGCTCGTCGAACTCTAAATTCAACGGCGTCACGTCCTGGCCGGCTTTCTCTGTGCTAAACTCTAAAATGCCATGACCGCTGCCTTTATCGCTGCAACGAGAGAAAATAAAACAAATTTTTTTTACTTGTCACTTTTTTCCTTTTCAAATGTGTGTTTAGTTTTATAAATTTCTAAATAATGCAATCAAGTCAAATTGTTATTGATAATTGATTATTATATTATTACTGTTATTCAATTTGACGGTTGAAAGCATGTGGTAGTAAATAAATAAATAAATAACAAAAAAAATTATCTTACTAGTCATCTTGATCGTCTTGCAAAGAATCTTGTCGACCTGTGGGAATAAGATTTGTGCCAGGACCACCACCGGGTCCTCGACGGTATCTTAGTGGACGGAAAGCGAACCTCCTGGGGTCGATATCGACGTCGGTTGGAGTGCTGACTGGAAACCTTGCTGATATTGGATCGACACCAGCCTGCTCCTCCTGAAGATACGACCTAACGTCATCTCGCGAATATATATCGTATATTTCAACGCGGACGTAAAATTTTATCGTCGGGTATACTATAAAGCTAAAATAACATTTGAGACAAAAAAGGTGCCAAAATTGTGAAAAAAAGCAATGTAACACGAGTGTAAAACTTTCTCTTCTCGTGAATGATCACATCGTAAATTCGTGATATGATTGTTTTAAGGAGAAAGGAAACAGGATTTATATTAATAGATCGAGAAAATCGCGAGCGTGTAAAGACGAGAATAGCACACTCACATCTCGCATGTTGAAAGTGATCTCGAGATTCTGGCTGAAGTGGTTGGCAAACTCCGGATAAAGCGCCAGAACGTCGAGCAGATCGTCCCGGTGGATCTTGTGAAGGTCGCAATAGGTAAGCGCGCGTACGTTACAGGACGACTTCCCGACAGTCGGATAAATGCACGGATTCTCGCCGAATATGTCGTTCTTGCCCAGAATGGCCATTACAATATCGTCCTTCAGGATCTCGATACTCCCGCGGGATATAAAATACAAGGATGTCAGCACGTCCCCGCGATGAACTAAAGTGTCACCCGGTGGCGCGTGCGTCGTCTTAAACTTTAAGGATAATGCCCTGTTTTGCGAACAAAACGAAAAGCTTGTCATCACGAGTTGAAAAAAAAAAATTGCACACACGGAGAATTTATATTTTTTTACTTGTAAAAAAAATAAAAAAATTTTAAAAAATAGTTTACTTTGGCGCGAGCTTAAGTGATTCCACAAAAGAATTTTGAAGACGAAATAAAACGGCGATTACCTTAAACAGCCTGGACTAGCCCCTTCGAAGGCGCGGCAATTGTTTAAAAGATTCCTATTAAGATGAAGACAGATGTCGGCCTGAAGGCACTCGGGAAACCCTTTCAGAACACTGTTCATGTCGATTCCGTTCGTATATGTCCACGCGTGTTGGAAATATTCCTCCAAACGTTGACGGAGCGGATTAGGGATCTGGTGGAATCTTATAAACTCCCTGACCCTGAGCATCTGCGTGTGATACCGCGCGGTACCGCTATACAGCCTTTGAATGATCGCCGATACATTACCGAAGATGCTGGCGTACATCAGGGCTGAAATAGTAGCACCGTGAAGCATATCGCAAATCTGACAGCTAACAAATTTAGAATTTCTCGTGATTTTCGAACGCGAACTGCTTTCGAGACTGCGTTAATTTAAAAAAAAAAAGAAAAAAAAACATGATGTTAATCAATCTCGGTGTCGTAATTCGATCCGCAGTAATTTTAATAAAAAATCATACGTCGGAACACAGTGATTTTTTTTTTTTTTTTTTTTTTTTTTTTTTTATCAACTCACATCCGATCAACATGACGATTATTGTGAAAATTTTCTCGGCGTCGGTATTGGGCGCCACGTTCCCGAAGCCTACGGACGTGAGGCTGCTGAAGGTGAAGTAAAGCGCCGTGATATAGCGACTCTGGAAAAGTTACAGCGTTACACGGAACAATGGGGAAAGGGTCTTTCTCGCGTATCGCCCATTTACACAAAACGAGCGATCTCGAAATATAAAGCGCATACTCGAGATAAACTCGCACGAATGGCTTACTTTTATGCTCGGCCCACCGGTGTTATTGTGAAAGTAAAATTGATGCGTGTCGTTGGCTAGAATGTCCAACCAACCAACCTTGCTCTTGAGAGTCGGTCTCTCGGCGTTGCCTATGGCGTACCTTTAAAAAAACAAACGCGAAATGCGAGGTTGACGCGTTTGAACATTTTACGTAAGAATGTTGCGTAACATCTTTTGTTGTTGTTGTTGTTGTTGTTGTTGTGGTTTCTTTCAACTTTGTGCGAGAAAGTTTGCGACAATAAAAACAATTTCCCGCACAAGTTTTGCTCAAGAAGAAAAATTTCGAATTGCTCGGAAGTTCAAAGAAGATCAGTGAAAGAAATGCATCTTTGTGGTGATTTAACCGAGTTTAAAAACCTTGTAGGATTTCAATGTAATGCAATTATGTAATGCGGTCCACTTACCATATGCATGCCAACCAATGAGCAATGAGAGCAAAGGTAGCCATTAATAGTAACAAAACCGCGGCGCCGTATTCGCTGTATCTGTCGATCTTCCTGGCCACCCTGACGAGCCGTAACAGACGAGCCGTCTTCAGTAGTCCGATCAGCGTTGTCGTCTGAAAATAATTCGTCATTTTTTCTATCTTCCCATTCTGCGAACTCGCGAGAAAAACCTTCCGACTCTCGTTCAGTCTCCACTTTCGATACACAGAAATCGGCCTTGTTTTGCGCCATCGATTCAACGTCGTTGTCGAGGTACAACACCATTTGCAAAGATTTTACTTTTGTGAACACAAAAGTGCAAGGACGGAACAAACGTGCTTTTGCAGTGTTTACGTAAAGAAATAACATTTAAAAAAAAAAAGAAAAAAGAATCAAAGACATTTACAATTTTAGGAAACGCTTCGATGTGACAAATTTGTTCGGTTAATAAAAAACAAAAAAAAAAAAAACGATGAGTAAAAAACCGCAAGAGAAATTGCGATGTATATCTACAGCATCGGAGATATCTTTTGTTCAGACACGCTTCATACGACAGACATTTATCAGAAATCTGATTCGTCCGACATTCGCGCGAAGGCCATTTCCATGTTGGAAGTGTCGCTCTTGTCGGAAGTCGTCACTCCGCATTGAGCATCCAATCCGCTCGAGAACAAAAGAAAACCCGTTTGGTCTCACGTGATATCACGATACGACGCGGGATACATTTTGCCGAGTTCGAAGCGTGACATTTAGCCGAGTTCCAAATACCAAAGTTGAACTCGTCGTTTTCTTCTTCGCGACCGACGTGCACGCGCTTCTCGGCGCCAATTTAGGAACAGACCTAAATTCAAAGGACCGGGGGGCGCGATTTTCCAGCACATGATGATTCAAAAGCGCCACTTCGATCGCGCGAGGTCGTGCTTTCACGAGAAAACACGACGAAGTAACGACTTCCTTCGAACAGTACAATAACTCGGAGGAAAATGGAAGTTTACGAGACTTTCGAGATATATCGAGAGTCGCGAGTACTTTGATATTGTGTATCCGACAAGAGATACGACAACAAGTGCAGATCGGCTGGGGGCAAGCAAACGTCGAAAATAATAATAATAGGAAAAAAAAAGCTGTACTCGTCGAGTAACTAATCTGCGACCGAAAATAGAAACGCAGAGACATTATAAATTTCGCGTAAAGAGACACGTAAAATATTCGCATGCTTCCTGTGTGTTCTTACCTTTGTTAAAAAAAAAAAAAAAAAAAAAACAAAAGAAAAAAAAAAGAAAAAGAAACCATTCGCATTCAAACAAGAACATCTACGTCGATCGAACACTTTCGCATTGAAAGAGATCGATGCTTTTTACGGGTATCATGCAAAATCCATTGTATTCCAATCGAAACAATCCGATTAATCCTCGGATCAACAACAACGTCGCGTGCGCTCGAAGCCGAGGTATTCTCAGCGCGATATAAAGAGGGAGAAAGAGAGAGAGAGAAAGAGAGAGAAGGATAAAACTTTCTCAACACATGGTCGAACATACACACACACACACACACACGTGACTCATTATTAGAGTTATTATTATTTTCGAAGAAGAAAGACCACGCGAAGCGCAGAAGCGACAGATAAGACACACAGAGAATTACTTATATACAAAAGATTTTAGCTTGTTAACACAATTGAAGGGACGAGCGACTGCGAGAAGAAATTTCAACGATAAAACTCGATTAATTAAAATGACAATTTAAGATTGATAGAAAGATGCAATCGAATATTACGTGGGGAAAGAATGAATTTTCACAAAAGCGATCCACTTCTATTTTATTCGCTTAACCCTTCAATCGTCGCGAATACAAAACGTAAAATTCTGTCAAGCGCGAAGATGAACACATACTTAACACGCACGCTTGCGCGCGCGCGCACACACACACACACATACAAAAACCAACATACACGTTAAACCGAACAAAATTCACCGGGTCAGAAAACTTCTTCGCCGGATATTATCACCGGATATCGTACAGCTTACAACAGACGCATTAATACAACAACAGAATACAAAAGAAGCTTGGGTAACGAAAACGATAGGACCAACATAGTATTAGGACAAAATCGAGAAAAGAATTAGCTGAAGCGTATACGCGCACTTGCTGACGAGAACCCGATGAGGTAGTTTTCAATCTCCAAGTGTTGTTGTTTTTTTTTTTTTTTTTTTTTTTTTTTTTTTTTCATAGTGTTATTATAGTTACTATTGCCAATATCAGTTATACGCGTTTATTCGTATATGTGTGTGTCTCTCCGTGTGTGTATGTGTGTGTGCACGTGTACATGTTGTACGTATGTGTAATCAATATTCCACATACAATTTTTTTCTCATCTCGCGAGAAATTCGGAGAAATATCTCGAGATGTTCGATGATGTTTTTTGCGCGTTTTTTTTTTTTCTATTAAAAGTTCGATCGTTATGCATAACATGCTTAATTTAATTAACGCAAGAAAACCTCGAGAGAAAGAGAGAAAGAGATTTATCTCTGTTTTCTTTTTTGTTTTTCTTCGGATATTAATTAACGCGAGAGCGTGTGTATCGCGCGGAACTTGATAATTGCTTACTCGCGGATATTCGACAAGAGTGTCTACTACTTTTGCGAGAAAAACGATCGAGATCAAAAGCATTGTTCATCCTGCAACCCCAAAGAGACTCGAGCGAGTATACGAAGCAAGCCCAAAATCGATTTACTTGCTAGAAAATAAAAAAAACTCGACAAGCTAGATGCAAGAGGGATGTAATAAACAACGTAGATAAAATATACAAAAGATATAAATATATGTATATATATATATATATATACTCGCCGCAAGAATTCTGCGAAAAATCGTGCGATCGACATGATTCAAAGAGATTCAATATCTGGTAAGAGAGAAAAAGTCTAACTAAAAAAATTAAAATATTACAGCGCTATACTATAGAATTCAACTATGTAGAGAGTTCTCGCCAGATACACTGTTAGATATATGAGTCACTTCTATCATGCGACAGGTTCAAATTGTCGACGGTAATCGTTTCGGTCTCATTGTTCTGTCGTGATTCAAGAGTTTTTTTTTTTTTTTTGTCAGTGAAAATTTAAGCGCGCGCATCTGCGCCCATCCGAACCGTTTCCGCGGTTATTTCCATAATAACTGCACGTATCAATTCACTTTTTCATTCAGATGAATATGCAAATTTCGAAAATTTACATGGGCGCAGACGTGTGTTCTATTGTGTCAGCTGCAGCCGAATTTGGGCTCTCTGGTCATTTATTCTCGATCTTGCGAGATCACGTACGTGGCGACACAAAGATACACATAGCGGCAGAACGGTTCTGTTAAACGATACGTTTAGATAGCTCTTTTAGGCTTCTACGCAGACCACAAAGTCTTGTATCAAAAGGCTGATCAAAAGCAAATCATTACGGGTCTCGTACAGTAATTTACAAAAAAAAAAAAGAAAAAAACATGCACGTTCACGTTTTTGTCATTAATAGACTTTTTTTTGGTACATTGTACGTGTGAGAATAGAGTTGATGAGAAATTCTGTTTGCATTACATATAAGTGATGGTTTACATTTAATTCTGTGGTCTCTCATATCAGAAGAGTATTAAAAAAAAAAAAAGTGCCGAAAGAGAGAAACGTTCCCGAGCAAAGATTTGCCATCAACTTTATTCAAATTTTCTGGACGGAGAATGGGGTTGCAGTGGAGTGAATTGTTTGTACTTGTGATATAACCGCGTATAAAGTAGTAAAATTGATTGCTGTGGTAACGTCGAGAGAGAATAATCCATATTGCAAAAGAGACTTGTGCTAGGAGTATTTAAAATGTGTATATGTTTTTAAGCGGTTTGTACATGAGAAAAAAACAGAGAGAGAGAGAAAGAGAAAGAGAGAGAAAGAGAGAGAGAGAGAGAGATAAAGAGAAGAAAACAGTTAGTAGAAAAAAAAACTCGTGATTGCGGTGGTGAGTTTAATCGGTTTGGTGTGAAAAAACGGTGTAAATTGTAATCCGCATTAAGTAATAACGAAAAGAAGGACACGTCAGTGAGAATCTTTTGTGTATATATGTGTCAACTAACCTCGTCCTTGTCCAAGCCGAGCTACGAAAACGTTAAACTGAGGTTAAAATTTGTTTCTTTTTTTTCACACATCGTGAGAATAAATTTTATTTTATTTTATTTTATTTTATTTTATTTTTTTTAAGCTTACTATTGGAGTTCGAAATCGGTCGCTCAAAAACAAAAAAAAAAAGAAAAAAAATAACAGGAAAACAGGATTGTTGCAAGAATTACATACGTGGATCTCTTTCACTTGTTCAATTCAAATTGCCGAGACAGATGACTCCATCAATTACCTCATTCACCGGAATAGCGTTGTTGCAAATGCACATACGGTCTTGTTTGTATTCAAAAGCGCGGTAAATCAAATTATAATCGAGAGACAGATTCGTTCACGAGATAGAATCGCACAGAGCGAGATTTTTTGTTCGCGCATACAAAGTTTCGGTTTTTTTTTAATTAGTCACCGCGATATCGTTCTTAAATCGAGGAAGAGACTAAATAAAAGTCAACTCATGTGAGATAGAATACAAAAGAATCGTTTAAAACGAAATAAACGAAAAAAAAAAACACGACCAAAAAAAAAGTAGAAAAAGAATCTTGACGTGGATCTGATATATAGTCTAATACTTTGACAATCAGAGCAGAAAATTTCACAGCGACAGACTATATTTACTTACATATTTACGAAGAGAGTGTATGCATATATACGTGTGCGTACAGGTGCGTGACAGTTCGAGAGACAAAGGGATATTATTCACTCGCGTTGAGAGTTATACAGCAGCGCGTTACAGCAGTTACATTTAATTGACAGCAAACACCGCTCTCGGCCGACACGGCTCAATTCTGTCTAATTAACTCAATGGTGACGCGCGCGCATCACGAACGTATTACAACGAAATTCGAGCAGTCCTGTGTGCGATTTGTGTCCGATTTTGATTCTCGACGCACGTGTAGCACACATTCAACGTTGTGTAAAAACAAAAAAAAAAAAAATTCGTATCAGACGGCGAGAGAAGAGCCATTTAAGGAAAAAAAAAAAAAGATAAGTTAGAAACGCTTTCTCGCCCATCCGTACGAGTATACATTGTGTGTGCACATTGACACGACGATTCGACTAACTCTCGACAAAGAAAAAACGAAATCATTCAACACCGAGAGAAAATGGTCGAAAATAGGGAGAAACGAACTAAGCACCAGTCCGGTAAAGTCACATCTATGGGCACGTAACTTGGGCTCGGCATGTCATCCTAATCATATTTACTAAGGTGACCATCCGACGTACCGATTTTATCGGGATAGTTTCGATTTTCGATTTTGTCCTGAATTTTTTTATACAAACTTTTTCCGTACGGTAATTTTTTTACGTGCGGTAATAAAATACTCATAGAAATGTAATAAGCTTTTGGCTCTCCTCTTTCATCATCTTTGGTTTTGTTTCCTTTCGATTTTTTTTCTTACTTATCTCTCTCAAAAGTTAAGTGTCGCCCGAAATCGACGACGGAAAAATCTGGTCACCTTATGTATTTTACCAACTAACACCGACATTCTAGAAAATTTGCATAACGATCTGGCGTCGACGAGTTTGTCATCTTTTGTGCATTTCAAATTTATTCATTCTCTGAATTTATTTCTGACTGTTCGCGCGAATTTTATTTCTTCGCGAATTAAGAAGCTACGAGATTAAAAAAAATCAGGAACTGCTAATAAGACAAAGTACTTGTCACATATTTTTGTAATTTAATGAGCAATTTTTTATTTTCACACTCGCGAGCGATTCAGTATATATCGACATAAAACGCGATCTCGCGGACTCCAGATCTGGCTTTAAAAAAAAAAAAAAAAGAAATCTAGGGATTGCGAAGCGTGCGACGTTAACTCACCTCGTCTGTATCCGAGCCAACGAGTAAGAGGTCGAAGGGAATGGCAGCCACCAGGTCGATGATGAACCAACCCTTCAGGTAATGGACGGCTATCTTTGCTGGATGGGACACCACCTCATCGTTGCTGTTGACGAACGTCGTGCGAAAATTTATGATGATATCCACGATGAAAGTGACGTCGACTGAAAAGTAAGAAGTGCGTCTGTCGTGCTTAAACTAATTAAATATATTCGCAATTGTCAATTTAATTGAATTTCTTTTTTTATGCCAAAATAAAAAATTTTCTCTCTCTCTCTCTCTCTCTCTGTCCTGATTTTATTTATTTATTTATTCAATAATATTGAGCTTGAAAATTACATTTCAAAATTTTGACGAAATAAATTTTGCGAACCTCGGAATAACCGGAGAGATAGCATCTCTAGAACTGTCCGACATATCTTCAATTTCTTCTCCACTCGTTCTATTTTCGCGCTATTGTCTCTTTGTTCGCTCTATTGTTCCGGACATTCGTGACACGTGTTATCCGCGTTCTAGCTACATTATATAGAATGTTATGCGGTACTGCACGGAGTGTATATGTCGATATCAATTTTAGAATTTAATACTCTAAGAGCCAGACGTTTCTCATCGTCGTAACTTTAATCTTACTTTAAGTGTTTTCTTTCCGAAGAAATTGCTTATAAGAATTAACCGTGGTATATGTAGCAACTCGAACTATTTAACAGCTAGAAGACGTCAAAGAACGATATTGCTATCGGATTTTTTGTTCGTTATCAACACATTGTACACGGGTCACTTATTAAATATTTTTCATATATTGACGTGACCTGTATACAATGTGCTGATCGAAACTTACTATATTTGCCGTTTTTTTTTAGCAACGTTAGAGTTTTATGGTAAAAATAAACAAATTACACACAAAATTGTTTTAATAATTCAATAGACAATCGGAGCAAGTTACTGACGTTTGTGATAAAAAAAGAAAAAAACAATAAATGAGACGTTAAAATTTGTTTCAACAAATTCTTTAACAAAACTCGCTTACCTATAAAGTCTATGATGACGATGGGATCATCGCCGTACTTCTTGTTCTTTCTGCTGTTGTAATCCGGATCCGACAGAACGAAGGCAGCGACATACGGGGTGAATATGGCGGTGTACATCACAAGCAGCAATATGATCCAATCCCAGGCCGCCTTGAACGGCGAATAGTGCAATATGGTCCACTTGTGGATTCTTGGGGACTGTAATTTGTACTCCGGGAGTATGTCTGCTCCGAGGGACAGCACCTGCGAACAGCGCGCAATATCGATCCCTTGAAACAAACGTTTTCGCTTTGGCATTCAATTTCAGTTGAGTTGAATTATTCGTTCAATCGCGTCTCTTCTGGATTATCCACAAAAAAATCCTATTACGCCAAGTAAACCACATTTTACCGATAAAACAATTTTATGTAACACGTGTTATATGTCGAGCGCGAATATATAACTCTCGATCCGGAAACAGGTGTTCCCGTACGTGTGCTAACTCTATCTTACAAACTCGAGAGAAAAATATATAACGAAAAATGGTTTTCCATCAGCGCGTTGTTTATACTTCGTGCGCGAGCTTTCCGATGACATTGTCAAAACACGTTACTACACGACGGTAGAGCGACGCGCTTACCATCGTTCGCGCACGAAAGTGTATATTTCCGTAAAATACACTCGTAGGTTCAAGCAGAGCGGAAGATGTTTAAACGAGTTGCGTCATCTATAACAAAGACACACGGGAGCTACATAAGAGGAAACACGAGCAGGAAAAGCTGTTTGCTGACCTGTCTAGCGGCAATGAAGCGTTTCGTGTTACTTTGGACCGGACTTTCTGCCATTTAAGACGCGCGCGTTTCAACGATTAGCAAAGACGTTAGGAAGGGTCGTTAAGAGAAACCGCAAATCTCTCCGGGCCGAGCGAGGGCTTACTCCGAAACTTGCCGCGTGTCCATTTCGTCAATCCGATACGATCACCCGATGAAATTGTATCCACCGAATCACGCTATTTGACATTTTCAACAACATCGCGTTCCAAACAGCCGGCGGAATTTTTCCTCCGTTCAAGTTGTTGTTATCCGCGGGGAAATACTATCGTATAATAATTACGAACGAGCTTAAAACACCTGGCTTCGTGCTCCTACGCTTCAAGACGGAGCTTAACCACTTAGTCGTCGTTGTAATCCGCGATTCCTCCGAGTCACGTCCCGGATTCCCTCGTAATACCCCGTAATAGCAGTCCTACTGTCTTTTCCAATACGGAAAAACGAGTGGGTTTACCCGAGCGACGAGCTTTTGATGGCCCCGCTGGTGAAAGTGGGCGCGATCGATCTACAAAGGAAGTCGTGTGACTCGAACGCCGCACCGAAATGCCGTTATAAACACTCTAATGGGAACAGCGGTATCGACCACCGGATGGAAGTTTCAAGCCGCGAGGCGGCTTCTCGCAGGTACTAGATTCGGCTCGTGTCGCGACGGAACGGGTCGACAGCCCGGGCCGCTTCTCAAGCTAATATTTCGAGTTATCGATTCCTCGCGCGAATCGGGAGCGCGCTTGTTTACTGCGCGCAGAAAGAGAGCGTGGGAAGAACCGGAAGAGTGCCGCCCGAGCGTCAGCTTAATACTGAGGCTATGCAAGCTCGACGAAGGGAGGTGTTCGTTCGATTGGCGCGGGGTTGGCTGGCTTGCTGGCTCGAGAAATGTGTGTGTGTATATGTGCGCGCGGGAGTTAGGGTAGCATCGCCGTTTGCATCCCCTTAGTTGAGTGTATATTTCGGTACGAAGTGAAGTGTCGGTAGTTACAACACTAAGCTGCCACTAAGAGTCATTAGTCTAGTCTGGTCTAGCAAGAGCACTAGGCGGAGGTCGATAACGATAAACCGCGCTCGAGAGACTCGCGACACAAACTGACCTCTTCCAATCGAGGGAAAAAGTCGCAGTACGCTCTCCCTCTTTTTCTTCTCTCTCCTCGCTCTCTCTCTCTCTCTCTCTCTCTCTTTCTTTCTCTCTCTCTCTCTTTCTCTCTCCCTTATGCGTTCAGTTATTATTATCAACCCTCGGTCGGCAAAAATAGAAACTGGGATATGGCTGAGATGACATGTTACACCACGATTGCGGGGACAACATCATTATGTAGTTTCGTCGTTACCATTATTTCAAACCTAATGGGATATTCAACGTTATATTCCACAATTGCGAACTGCGGGTTTCCATCATCATGTTTCTATAATCATGAAAATTGATAGCTGGCTCATTTTTCACATTTGAGTTTCGAACAAAATTAAAATGAATGAAACACAACACCACGTCGCAAGTCTTTTTGTATATAAGAGATTTTTTTTTTTATTAAAAAATTTTTGTCTTATTAAAAAACAAAAATTGCCGCGTGTGTACATATTGGAGAAATTTTAATGATGCTTCTCTTTTACTTTCTTATGTCTTTATTTTTTTCATTCGTACGTTCATTTTAATATTGAAAGAACCAAAGAAAATGTTACATAAAACGTTTGCAAAGAGAAGAAACCCAAGGTGACTCGGGTTTCTTTCTTAACTTCCATATTGATTTTTTATTATTAGCTTCGATCTGTTGAAGAACATACAGCCAGATGGGTCACGGGAGGCGAGGTAGAAAACGCCTGGTTAGAGACAGCCGCGGGAATGTAAATTCAGGTGAGGTGTTGTTTTATTCATTGAGCCTGATGGTCAGGCGAGAAGATTTGCTAGGACGACCCCGTTTCAATGACCCGAGAAGTCATGTCAAATAAATAATTTTGTTTTTTATAAACGCGAATAAAGTTTCGTTTTGAAAACAAGCAACTCCGACGGAAAATAAATGACTTTATAAAAAATTAAAAAAACTAAGAAAAACTAAAAAACCGAACTGAGAAGATTGAAATTATTAGAACAGATATTGTTGCTTTCTTTTCAAAAGAGTAATGCTTAAAGCATTTGCCAGTAATTTTTCTTATTTTCGCGTTCTTACATTCAGTTGAACACGTCGCCCACTCGCTCGAACAAATTACGAGTACAAAATGAAATAAGAAAATCAATTATACGCAAAGATAAAAGACAGAGAGAAGAATTTCCTCGAGCGTAATAATCGTAACATGATCGTGATAAGGTTGGTAACATCAGTATACGTGTATTAATGACGGAATTTCTCATCGACTTAGACAGTTCATCTGTGTAATGAAGACGAAGTAATCGAATATGCGAAAGTAGGAGGCGGCGACACGGATATTAGTTAGATCGTGCGCTGTGACCTGGAATTATCGAATATTGTCAAGTTATGTAATCATCAACCATCACCGTCCAAAATACCGTAGAGAAACGTTTCTCAGGAATGTCACGTGGAAAAACGTATCTGTCTTCAGAAGAACATGCGCGCGAAAAATGTTTTTCTTCAGAAATTTCTCTCCATTCATCGTCAATTTCCAGCATTTGCTGGAAATGGTAGTCAAAAAAAAAAAAAAAAAAAAATTCACTTATAAAATTTCCGAGAAACATTTACTAATTATGTAGAAGAAAAATTAATTGTGAAAGATCTAAGAGTCGCGCGAATTCTAATTAAATTTGTTTTCATTTATCAATTTAATACGCGCAATATAGTTCTCATTTTTACGATCCTCAGCTCGCTCGCGACCGACAATTTAATATTTGCAAATTCAAACGACCGCAAATATTACGTTGAAACCGCGCTTTTGCAGCGCGCGCGCGCGCGCGTAAATATGTATGATTAAATTCATATTTATGAGAATCTCAACGCGCCATTGCTTTTTCGATGGTCGTGTCTCATCATCATTTGGATTTAATATTTACAGATTCACGAGACGAAGCCATTCCTCCGCGTAAATATGTACCTGCCGCGTGTAAGCAAAATATGTATCAGCGGCTCTTCTGTGATGATAAGAGGGCTTTTCAAGCAGCTTTTTTTTTAGAGTTCCTCAGTTGCAAGATATAAAAACGCTTTCTTCGAGTCACGTGTAAATTCAACGGTCGTTCTCGCATGAAGAAAAGCAGATGAAATAGAAAATTTAAACGTCGCATGTGTGTAAACATTCTCTTTGTAGAGACGCGCGAATAAATTGACAATTGTTTAATTTCTTGCGTTACCACTTGCCGTGATATGATATTTATTTCATTACACAAGAGAGAATGGCACATGTGTTTTCTTCTAAATTACATTATCTAAAAATAAAGTCTACCTCGGGTAATAATCTTCTTAAATATCATATATTTTGCAAGAAAAAAGTATTCACAAAACACCGAACGCATTTGCGAATGACGCAAACGTGAAATACCAATTGGAAACGAGGTCGTCTCATCGACGGAGCGCGGAAATATGCGTTCGTTCGTAATCCGTTTTAACGAGAAGAAAGCTCCTGTCGAAGCCCGGTTATACTTGGAGATATAGCAAGATATAGGTACACGCTTGTGTCACAAAACGAGTCGGCATGAAAGCGCCCGTTTTCATTCGGATTCGTACCAGTCTACGCAACGATCCGATCGATACGAAAATGCACGCGCGCAATTCCGCGCGCAGATTAAACGAGAGAAAGAGAGAGAGGGAGAGAGCTCGTTGTAGAACGGCTCGTTGATAGCGCGAATAAACGCGAGTAAACAATGACTTGATTAAGATGGTATGCGAGCGGGTGGTGCACAGAAACTCGAAAAGTAAATTTGGAGAACGACAAATCTTATCCGAACGCGTCATTGCGGTATTTTAAACATTGACGAACAAACACGTGCACGCTAAATTCATCGTAACGATTATCTGATTATTATTTGCAACGTTCGTTATCTCACTTACGTAATCTCATTTTTATAAGGTAAATGCACCAATGCTCACGGACAAGTATCATTCTGGACATTTATTCAAGAATTAATTTTAACAAAATAACATTTAAACAACATATTTTATAAAATAATATATTTAAAAAAATATATAATATTTGAAAACATTTTAAAATATTGAAAATTGTTATATTTAATGTATTTATCATCTTGTATTTTACATCTAATAATTGTTGAATAAATGTTTTAATAATTGTTGTTTAATAAATTAACTATTGGAACAGTTAACTAAAAATTTTTTTAACATTTTAACATTTGAAAATATTGAAAATTATTATGTTTAACATTATTTACATATCTAAGAATTATTTCTCTAACAAATGTTGTTTAACAAATTAACTATTGGAACAGTTAGTTGAAAAGTTAGGTTTACATAAGATATGTGTATTTTTTTTAATGGTACTAGA